CCATCGCACATCTATCCTACAACATAGGGGCTTACTATTTACCCATTTTATGGTTGTTATGCAAAAATCCCCACCAATAATATTTAGCTCTGAACCTAGAATGCTATTTTAGCCTTGGTATATATACATATCATATCTTAATCCCTTTATCTTCCCCTTTCCTTTCCTCCCCACCCCTTTCCCTCTATTCTTACATCCCCTTCTCATCTCCACAAAGTATATCTCTCTGTTTCCTCTCATCTTTTATTTTTCTCCTTAAGTTATTTATATTTTGGATTTCTCATATAAGAGAACCCATGCAATATTTAACCTTCTGCATCATAACATTGTGATATTAAGGTGCACCCATTTTCCTACAAATGACCCTTCTTTATTATTAATTCCATTTTACAGATGAGGAATCTATGGCTTAGGAGCAAATATCTTGCCAATGTTTACACAATAATATGTTGGCAGGGCCAGGATTTTAATTCAGGTCTATGGGAGTCCCTAAATCCCTGTCATCCAGGTAAACACAACAGCCCTATGGTACAATTCCTTTTGACTGAACTCTCTTGCTCACATTTAAGATCTTATACTGGGTAATAAGAGAAGTAAACATGGAAGAAGTTTGTATTTTTAAAGTAATAATCATATAAAATTGTCCCTATGTTTCCATTAGGTAATTGTTTATTTTCAAATGACTTTCACATGCTTTATTTGTGTAAACTCTAGTCAAGTGCCTCTAAGATTTTGTTATGAAAATGAATGAATGGAGATTTCCATTAAAGGCAGATTCTGAATGAACAGGCCTAGGGAAGGGCCAGTTATTTTGTGTTTATAGATAGTCCTTCAAGGAGTGTCTTTTTAAAACTTGTACTATCACCACTATCATGCAGAAGTTCTGATTATTCTTGGATACGGTAGATGCATGTGCTATATGAGTACTGCACCATCTTCTATTAGTGTCACTACAGCTCCTTGGGCTGGTGTAGGCATATTTATATTGGTGTATTCCCTCAAACCTAAAGGAAATTAGTGTGAGCTTAATGGAAAACAAAGTTAAAGAATGTAATCAGGTAACAGTGATCCCTTCACAGACTTTGCCTTTTCCTAACATTCTTCTATAAAAGTCATCTGCTTTGTCTTTTCTATGCTTGCTTTAATTTTTCAGAAAATGTGTTATGTGCATGCACATGTGTGTATGCATGTTCTTAAAGCTGCTGATTCAGAGGCTGAGCATACAAAGCAAGAGCCACAGTTACTATGTTCTACTAATGTCCAGTCCTCAAAACTATTAGGATGAAGCAGAATTCTCATTTCCAAATGCCTTGCTGTTGGTAGTGTAAGCCAGATGGAGTACACAAATGGGAGAAGCTAAAATTTTGTCATGTTTAATTCTGACCTCCATCTGAATATGCTAACTGATGTTTCATGTTTTCTTAACTAGCAAAATAGGAGTGTGTGTGTGTGTGTGTGTGTGTGTGTGTGTGTGTGTGTGTGTGTTTTGAAGGGAGGTTTTGTATTGGGTGAGAAGATAAGTCACAAAAATATACTAATAATATGTAATATTAATATGTAAATATCAGTATAGGATGCAAATAGTAGTGATTTGGGGCAACTTGCTTTCAGATTCTTAGTTTCTTGTAAAGAACTCCAGAGAACTTTAGCAAATTTATTCAGCATCAATCAAAAGAAGAAGTACTAGTTTGGGTTTGTCACTAGCTAGTTGTGGGATTTAGGTAAGTTATTTCTATTCTGAGTCCCAATTTCCTCCATACGTGACTCTGCCAAGATTGCTACTTCTTTTTCTCCTTCACATTTTCTTTGATTTTGCTAAGACAGAAGCTGGGAGTAACTGCACTGGCTAACATCATTCAAGGACCAACTCTGCAATGGGTAAAAGAAAACAAAACTCAGGAAACTTGCAAAATTCCTTTAACCTATGAACTGCATCTCTTGCTTAACTGTACCAGTTTTTTATTATTTGTAAAAGTCATCTGTCCTCACTCATTTGAGGATGATTTGCATGTTTTTTATGAGACCATGGCTGATCATTGGGATCATTCCTCACTGGCAGGTCTGACAGAATCTGCAGGTCTGAACTGACAGAAGGCGTGTGGGACACCTCAACAGAGGGAAATTCATGAGTTTTAAGAAGGTGACACTATGCATACTTCAGCTTCTAAGTTTTAGACATGATTGCTAGCCTCAGCTCAGCACTGATTTGAAGTTGAGGAGCTGCAACTTGTACCTACAATATGGCACCACTTCTGTCTTCAGCCTGTAAACTCTGTTACACCATTCCCTGAAAACTGAGAAATGACTGGACCAGATTAAGTTGGTGGCATCATGGGGCAAACGCACTTTGTGGAGACAAGTCCCACTTCTTGTTTTCCCCACAGGCTACCAGAATTTTTTAATGTACTGAGCTGAAAACAGTCACCTTTGGCAGGAAGAAAGCAGGCAAAAATGTTTTGGGTCCTCTCCTTCAGCAATGCAGTCATGGCAAAAGACAAATTAGAATACTTGGAAGCAGGATAGAGGGAAATAGCATGACACATTTGAAATATTCATTTGATAATTAAACACCTGAATGGCTTGAAGATTGGAATTTAACATGCTAAGGAGTGAAATGAGATGACAGCATTGAAAATATACTCCAAGGCTCCCAATTCCCTGGTTCTATAGAATTCTATCACTGTTTACTTAGTGTTTACATGTCAAATTGCAGACCATTTTATCCAAACTAAATATCTGAACTAGTTTTATTCTGAGACAAAGCAAATACTTTATTTTTTCCACGTATTTCAAAACATCTTCAGTTTTCCTATTCCTGTCCTCTTTTCTCTTCTGCATCTCTAATTTCCTGGTCCAACCTTCTCTAAGTGCTGTGGTTCTGTGTGTCAGTCTGGTTTGGACTGTTAACTCTGGAATTAATAGCATCATAGGATTAGAGATTTTTGTAGCTGAAAGGAATGCAAGATATTACCTGGTTCAGTTCTCCATGTTGAAGCATACACTAAAGCCAGGTGAACATATTCCAGTGACCTGGGAGGTATGTTAGTTGTGAATTCTTCCATCTGCCTGCCTCCTTGTCCTATGGGTAACCATAGGTCAGGACCCACTTCAGTAGCAAGATATATCATGGAGAACAGAACAAAGACCTACACATTTGCTTCGTCCTTGTTGATACTTTGAGTTCTTTTCTCAATTTTGAAGCTATTAGTTCTTTCCTACCTGGCTACAATCTTTTCTTTGCTATCTATGGGAAAGTGTAATTTTAACCTACCCAACAATATATTTGCTTATGATTGCCTAAATGAAGTAACAAAATGGGCACCTTTTCAGATCCTATGTGAGTAATCCTCGTTCTGCTATCTCTAGGCAGTGAGCATTAGAACAAATTGCCTGATGCAATATAAACAGTTCCATTTAATGCAGAATCTGTTTCTTTCATTTTCTGAGTTTGAAAGAGGTAACTCATTGTATTTCAATAACAGAGTAATAAATACAAAGTTTGACAGAAGATCCTAGATGCTTTGGAAGTACAAATTTAAATCCCCCCTCCCTCTGATAGAAACATAGCCCAGAATGTATGGTAGAGGCTGATTGGAGTCCTTGAAAAACTATACACACAGAGAAATAGACAATATCACTATATTTCTATATCTCTATACTGTCTATCTAATTTAAAAGTTTATAGAAACAGTATATCCTTGGAACCAACATGTAGATTTCAGTTCTTTTCTCAAATTCACAAAAAGACCCTGTGAGTTTCCTTTATGTCAGGCTATGAAACCAACTTGGTATACTATGTGAATATACTGGCATGCCTTTTAATTTACAATGAAAAGATTTTAAAAGACTAGTATTGAGTATCATTTAAATTTCAACTTCTTAATACTTTAGAGGAAATCATACATGGTGTAAATTAACCACATATCATAAAAAATCTAATAAACAATTATGAATGTTGATATATAAATATGCCATATATACTAAATGCCAGAAAGATAAATATATGACATTAAACAAGTGGGTTTGGGTGCCAGCAGAATGTAGTAATTATTCCTCATTTAACCCTAGTGCTAATGCACAGTCTTTAAGGGGAGAGTTATCGATTAGTCTGTGTGTCTCCAACTCATACAATAAACTCGGGTAAAGTTCAGAGATCCTGTCTTTCAGACTGGTTTCCTGGCTCTCACCTTTGCATAAAAGACTGATAACCTTGCTAAACACTTGGCTGTCACCAGGTGCATGACTGTGTCCCAACTCAAGTTAGCAATGGGGAAAAAAAAAAAAAAGGCTTTTCCCAGGGTTATTTTCAGAGACCAGGAAGAAAGATCACAATCTGTGAATTTAGCTCAATATCTGCGTATGTGGGCAGGATCATAAAGGTAGTGTTGGTAGGTGTCTACTTTGGATCAAAGATTTGACTTACACGCCCCTCTCCCCCCATTTGAGTTTCTTAGTTCTTTTAAGAAAACCAGGCAAATGAGGCTGGTCATTTTTTAAATCTGAAGAATATGAAAACAGAAAGAAGGTAAATGGGGCTCTGGTTCCTGTCCCCTCATGAACTTGCACCTTGGCTTCCTGCAGCTAAAGGTGGCTGCTGCTGGTAGAGCAAGAATCCTCATTGCACTCCTACCTCGGGCCCATTTTCTGAAGACCTGGGAGCAGGTTCCTTGGGGAACTTAATACTTACTCAAGGATGAAACAAATCACTTTCCAGACAGGGGTAAGGTAAAGCTCTTATTTCAGAGAACATTAGCAAGGAAAATCATATTGTCTAGCATTGCTAACATCATCAGTTCACTTAAAGCTCCCTGTCTTGTTGCAACCCTCCCTAGTGTCCCAAAACAATCTGTTGCTGGTCTTCTGGTCCCCACCAGAGCTCACAACCAGCCAACCAGCCAGCCAGCCAGCCAGCTAGAGCCTTCCAGCACACAGCAGCCCATCACTTTCCTGCAACCCGCACTTCTATGTGCTGGGCAGCATCCTGCCGCCTGTCAACTCACCCGAGGACCAGTGTTTTCTTGAGATGTGAGTCCTCCGATGTCCGTAGACCAGGCCACTGGGTACTTGCAGCTTTGTTGGACCTCTCTTCCACAGCAACTAGCAGCGGCAGCGTGGGACAGCCTAGGCGCTGCAGGCTGCTGAGCCGGTGGGCCAAGAAGCACAGGGGAAGGGGCGGAATGCGGTGCAGGGCTCAAGTACCGGCTCCTGATTTCGTTCCTCCCTTTCCTCTTCAGTTATCGCCAAACTTCCTTTTTACTGGCCATACGCCCTCACCTTTATCCTCAGCCAGCTCACCGAAACTCTTTGCTCTATCCTTGCCTTGCTTTCGCTCTCTTCAGCGGGCTCTGCTTTGTGACCCTTACCTTAGTCCCCTCAAATGCAGGCACTCCATTCGCACAGCCAGCCACACACACTAGAGAAGAAACTGTCAAGAGAAACTGACAAGGATCTCTGGCGCGGTGCTGTGAACAGAAGAAAGAAGGAAAAGCTAGGGAGCAAGAGAGAGCCAGAGCAAGGCAGGGAATGAGCCAGAGACAGAAAGAGGGAGAACCGCATTCACACTCTTACAGGCACACTAAAGGTTCAGCCGCGAGGTAGCAGCTGGCTGGAGCTCCCGCCACCTCCAATTCTAGACTAGGCGTTTCTGTTCCCCTCTGCTAATGCTTCCGCAAAATGCTATACAGAGAAGGGGAGAGAAAGGGAAAAGCAAAGAGGGGCGGGGATGGGAAAATCAAGGAGGTGTGCTCCCTTTCTACTCCCTACCCCTGCATCTGAGAATGTCTAACCCTGAACCCTCCTTTTCTCTTCTGTCTGCTCTTGTGTTCCCTCTGCTGCTGTTCTCTTTCTCCTCTTTGAGGTGCATGGGAGCTGCGGAGAACCCGTCGTGGTTTTGATGAGAGAGAGAGAGAGAGAGAGAGAGAGAGAGAGAGAGAGAGAGAGAGAGAGAGAGAGACAAGGAAGAGGAGGAGGAAGATGAGGAGGAGGAGGAGGAGGAGGAGGAGGAGGAGGAGGAGGAGGAGGAGGAGGAGCAGCAGCAGCAGCAGCAGCAAGAGCACCCTGCTGCCTTGAGAGCTTAACCCCCCCCCCACGGGCTCACTCGGGGCTGGGGCGGGCGGGGCGGGGGAGGAGGAGGGAAAGAAGGAGGATGGGGCAGCCTGCAGGGGCAGCAGCTCCTGCCTTCTCTGCAGCTCCGCGGCCAGGGGTGGAAGGAAACTGCAGCCGCAGCCCCAAGTCAGCCCCCGCTGCCCTGTCCCACCGTCTCATCTCTCCCCCCTCGGTACGAAATTTTCTGTTTCATTTGTTTGCTTTTCCAGGCCTCCCCCTCCCCCTGGGTGAAGGCAAAGACTGGAGAAGCGCGCGGAGGGAGGGGGGTGTCGGTGGTTAGAGGCTGTGTAAAGGGGACAGGAGCGACTGGGACTCCTGGCTTGTAGAATCCTCCTAACCCCTCACCTGAGTGCCCTCTTCTTTGGGCAGTGACCTCTGCCCACTCATCTCAACCGGGCTCTTTGCTGGAGGTGGCTGGGCTGCGCCAGCCGCCATGGATCATACTCTGGGAAAGGTAGCTGAGCAGGATGGAGTAGGAGCCAGTGGCTGGCCGGACAGTGGGGCTTACCTGGGGTTGCTTTCAGCACGCTGTGTCTTGTTCAGCCTGATGCAGGCATTCCTGGAGCGCAACCTAATTCTCCCATGGGTGTCCCTCTTGCCTGTAGGATCTATCTCCCAAGACCCAGCCTGGATAGAAGCAAGAAGGGATAGCAGTACAGGATAAGGGGCTGAGTTACTTATTTTGGCAGTCGTGTCTAGAGAAGTGAAGGGGGGGGGGGGTGAGGGCGCCAGGGTAGTGTCATGCAGACACTTCGGTGATTCAGAGGTCTTGCCTATTTGTGTTACCTGAGGTACCCCTCCCCCTGCCCCGCGTCCCTGTGGCTTTCAGATTGCCCATCCTCTGGGAGAGTCCTGAAACCTGCTGCACTTCTATCTGCAACCTATAGGCACCTAAGGTCCTTACAAAGCAGCATCTCCTTTTCCAGCCGCACACCCCAAATCTGGGCTTTGTCTCTCACCTCTCTTACTATCCCTCTCTGGGAACGGAAACGCAAGTTCTTCTTTTCTGGATGCAGAGCTGGTACTTAAAACGCTTTTCCTCCTCCCCATTCTCAGAGCAATCCTGAGCGCTAAGAAAGCTCAGCTCTACTTTCCCCTGTTGCCTTAAAGCTTTGAGTAAACCCTTAAAGCCTGAATCCAGCTTCAGAAAAAGCCAATTCCATCTTCCCTGCATAAATGGCATAGTGTTGCCATTGTTGTTCCTCTGAAGCTGGGTTAGCTATGTTTATTTGGAGTCCTAGCAACTCTCCTCCTAGGCTACACTGGCCAAGTCCCTGGAGACCTCAGAAAGACAACTTTTCCTTTTGTTCTTAGGTCTCTTAGCCTTGAGATAACCCAATATTCTGCAGTATATTAAGCTTTTGTATGGGAGCAAGACACGAGTAAAAAAAGAAGTATTACTTTGGAGGGTTAGGTGTGTGTGTGTGTGTGTGTGTGTGTGTGTGTGTGTGTGTGTGTGTATTTGTGTGTGTGTGCTCATGCACTTGTGTCTGTGTGTAGGGGTGACTGAGATAAGGGTAAAACTTTCTCCTTTATATCTTTTAAATATTTTAATAACTGTTTCTAAAGACTGGCCAAGTGGGTAGCTGAACATAAGTGACTTGACTCTAGGACCTTTCTACATTTTTTTTCATTCAAAAGCAGTTTTATTGTGACCCAGCAAATTCTAACATAAGACTTCCCAAAGAAGAGAAATCTATACTGTGATAAAGCCAATCCCTCCTTTGGCAGAAGGGATACATAGGATAGAGTGACTATAAACAAGACTGTCCAACTGAGGCTTGCACTGTAAGTCCAGGATGCATCCAGGAGCAGTACTTACACAGAAAGAAAGCCCTACTCTGGAGTCTGAGTTGTTTCCTTCAAAGGCCCCATATACAATGTAACTATATTGAACATATGAATTATGTGTACTTCGGAATTTTGGTGCTTTCTTAGTGGATTTTAAATTACACAAAGGTTTCTCAATCTCCATCTGCCCTATCATATTCCTACCATATTCCTACCATATTCTCTAATCTTCAAATAAAGAATATATAAAAAAAATCCCTTCAGCAGTTAAAAAGCACTTTACAAACGTCAGGCATTACTATGCAAGTTCAAGGACAAACCCACTAGAGGATCTCCTAGTGCAATTACAAAGGGACTTAGACAGGGGCCCAAATTTTACTGGGGTTGCTTTTCAGACTTGGGGCTGGACAATTAACTCATCTTCTCCATAAAAGGGAAATATTTGAGTTTTTCACTTGGTAGTCATGGAGATGCTTCATCTGTCTAAAATCTTTAAGGGTAGTTTGCAGCCAGAGGCCACATCTACAGAAGTGGCTTAAGGTGAAAAATGGAAGCAGCTGTCTGAATAATGTAAGTCCAGATCGACCTATCTTCTAGGCTATGTGTACTCACAAGATCTGGCCTATTCAAACACCATGACAGGTTGACTGTCAACATACAACTGACACTTAGAAATTCAAGTGCTTTCTGCTTACAGCCTTAACTATAGCAATAAATGGTGTATGCCCATCAGAATTTAGTGTAGACTCACTGATAAAGACAGACTGATATGAAGACCCCAGATAGTGGATTTTCTACATTTGCATTAAGGAAAGTTTCTCACCTTGGACATTATGAACATTTTGGGCCATGATTTCTTTTTATGGGATGTTGAGCAATATCCTTGCCCTCTATCCACTAGCTGACAGGAACAACCTGCCTCCCAGCTACAACAAATAAAAATGTTTCTAGACATGGTCTAATGTCCCCTAGGAGGCAAAATAGCCCCTGCATTGAGAACTACTGACATTTAAGGTAGTATCACATTTTAAAGGTTATATTTCACTTTAATTCTACTCACACTGAACAGAATCTTACACTGAACAGAATCTCAGAAAATAGGAAATATTTGTGAGGAAATAACATAGAAAAGAATCCTCACAATTTAATAAATCACGATAAATGATAGAATTCATCTTTATCATCCTTGCCACCTCATTATCATATGCCACCTCATATCATTCTTGTGCAGTGCACAATATAAGTAGGGTGTGATTATAGCAAAGATTTATAAGCTTCTTCCAGCCTTTAATACACTAAAAAACTAAGGATCTTTACTTCCCTATGGGGAAAGAATTACTGATTTTCACAAATAACCTATTACTCGATTTAATTCAACCTGTTTTTTTCTGTCTTCTGTTTCCTATTTGTCCCAAAAGTGACTTGTTCTTTAAAATTCTGCCTCAGAGAGCTTTCTCTTTGTCCTAATAATTACTATAACCTACATCAAATTTTTTTTTTTTTACTTTTCTACATCTGGCACTTACACCTTAATAATGTGTCCAGCATGAGAATGACCACCATTCCACAAATATTATAATAAACTGAACAACTGAAAGCAGGTTTTTGGTTTCAAAGAAGTAGTTTCTAATTACTTGCATGTTAGAGAAATTTTCAACAATGGCAAAGGAAATTTAATGGAATATAACAAGAGGTGATTCTTAAAATACCTGGGGTGTTGAGAAAAATGTCTTGGTGTGATTGTGGATTTTAACACTCAGCACTATCTCTGCTCCAGGAAGTCAAGCAACACTAATGCACGTTGTAGGATTCTGCTCAGAAATTCATTAAAAGAAAATGTAGGAAGAAGTATTGAATATATGCTGAAAAGCTACAGAGCAAGTGCCTGCTTTACAAAATAAACTTCCAGGGAGCCAGGACTCCATCAGTTTCATTTGCTTTGGACAATTCCTAGCCCAGTACCATGAAAATAAGCAGCACGTCATTTGCAAAGCTCAGCATAGGGAACAACAACTACGGCATTCAAATTTAGTCCACTCATAAATTATGAGGCTCTTACCAAAGCTAATAATTTTTTAAATAAAAGTTTTTCCTGAATTGGGAGCATGAATGACTATAATTGAGAATAGGTTTTATTTCAAGACTGCATTTAAGCTCTTATATTAGGAAAGGGTATCTGTAATCAATGCATAAGACCATAAATTAGAAGTGATTAATCTTAATAAAATAAATGTAAACAGAAACACACTACATGGATTTGCTAAAGACTTTTTTTTGTGCTTACCATTAACAGAAATGCAAGTGGAAATGGCCATGAGCAAATTTTTAAAGGCGTTATAGAATCAGAGAATAATAGAGAATGTGAAATCACCGAGAAGGGCCTGTTTTGAGGTTGTGTAGTGGTGACAGATACCTTGTGACTGACCCTTTACATGACCTTAGGAAGGGCTGTATATCCCTTCTCCCCAGTTTATTAAAGTCTGCTCTTATGGAATGATATATGCTGTCCTAATCATTATACCAGTGTGTTCGTTTTTGCAGGAGTAGCTCATTTTCAGCCTATTTTTCCAGTTTGGGGAGGAAAGGTTTTATTCCTTTAGTAATGTCGGAGTTAAAGCATGAGTAGTGTGTCTTTGGAATTAGGACTTCCAAAGTCCCCTGAAATTACATCAGATTTTGAAAATCTGGAGGGGAATAGGAGTAGAACAGCACGATTTTGTTGTATGTGTCTCTTCAGTAATGGACAATTTTTTTGTGTATTAGAAAGGGCTTAGTGCAAAAATGAAATTTTAACTTCAGTATTTCTTCTCTGCAGAATTTGCTATTGGGAAGGAACATCTTAGTAACTGTGCTTTATTCTCCATAAAAATCATAACACATGCACACATAGCAATAATGGGCTACATATGATAGGTTCCTGAAGGGTCAGTTGTGGTAAAGGATTTAGATTCTGAATTCAGATAGACTCCAAATCCATGTTATATTAGTTATGGAAATTAGGTAACATGAGCATTTATTTTCTTATCTATAACAAGTCACAGGTTATTTAGTAGATTTAGATAAGACATAAGTCTAGCACGGTGCCTAATATATGGCAAGTAGCTCAATAATTACTAATTTCCTTCCTTCTCCTTTTCTTCCTTTTTTATTGAGATGATTTATATAACATAAATGAACGATCTTAAAACTATATAATTTACCGACATTTAGTATTTTCACAACGTTGTGCAACCTTCACTTCTAATATTCTATCAAGTTCTAAAACATTTTCATCACCCTAAAAGATCTTGAATCCATTTATCAGTCACTTCCAATTCCTTCTTCTTCCAGCCACTGACCACTAATATGCTTTCTATTTCTATGAATTCAGCTATTCTGGAT